CCTCACGGTGATAAGAGAGACTGGAGTAGCTGTACTCTTTTTCCTTCGATCAAGTTTTTTCCCACTGGGTTTTCTTGACAAGGTTTTAACGAGGCAGCACGTGGATACTCCACTAAAGATGATCTATTTGAGGGGGAGCAAAGTTGTGCTTCCACGATGATCAGGTTTTGTCCCACCGAGTTTTCCTGAAGAAACAATGTTATGATTTCAAGATGATCAGGTTTTGTCCTACCGGGTTTTCCTGACGTGCTGAAGCAATGGTACCTGATGGCCACAAGATACACTTGAAGGTGTGCAGATTGGGATTTGTTCAAATCAGTTAAAATATGTTTAGAAAATAGTCATTCAAGGGGGAGTGTTATAAAATAATAAAATAATGTATGTGAATGACTATTTTGCCCTCGATGTATTTGTATTATTACGAGTTGTGCCATCAGGAGTTTCCTATAAATAGGAGCTTCAGTTATAATGAAAAACACACCTACGAGAATACATTTTCTCTATTATCTCTCTTTCTCTCTAGTTTTATAACACAATCAACATTTTGCCTAGATTCAAAGATATTTTTAAGGAGATCCCGAAAATCTATGTACTTTATTTAGCAAATAATATAGCAATAATGAAGCTTACATGTGCTCTTGCTAATTACATTAGTCATATTAATATATTATGTTTTCTAATGTACCTCCAGCTGTACAGTGTTGAAGCAAATAGTAGTAGTATTTTACGTCTTTGACAACATTTTCCTTTTATTGTTCTCCACTTATAAAACCTCCAGCTGTACGGTTCACAACATTTTCCTTTCTATTTTGTCCAATTATAAAATACGGTACGTTTTTGTCTTCTTTGGTAGCTATGACCAACAGCTTCTCCACTTTTTGTAGCCCTCACAGAAAATTGAAAAGATAAAGGACAAAATACATACGCAGTGGAACCAGATCAAACGAGAAGCTCGTGATTGAGGAAGCTGGACTCCATTGACTGAATTGTGAAATCCATGGCTTAATCGGTAACCCCTTCCGCCGGAATCAAAACCACCACGACTACTGCCGGCGGCGGAAATCTAACGGCTCAATCCATGGCGGCGACACCAAGCTCCGGCTTGAAATTCCCGAAGCAGAAAGAGGCGCAAGGGGTTTTGCTCGGCCGATACGACATCGGGAAGCTCATCGGCCAGGGATCCTTCGCGAAGGTGTACCACGCGCGGAACGTGCGTACGGGGGAGGGCGTGGCCATCAAGGTGATTGACAAGGAGAAGATTCTCAAGGTCGGCCTAACCGCCCACATAAAGCGCGAGATCTCGATACTCCGGCGCGTGCGCCACCCGAACATCGTGCAGCTGTTAGAGGTCATGGCGACCAAGTCCAAAATCTACTTCGTGATGGAGTACGTCAGGGGCGGCGAATTGTTCGGAAAAGTCGCCAAGGGCCGGCTCAAGGAGGAGGTCGCCCGGAAGTACTTCCAGCAGCTGATCTCCGCCGTGGCCTTCTGCCACGCGCGGGGCGTGTACCACCGCGATCTGAAGCCGGAGAATATCCTCCTCGACGAGGACGGCAACCTCAAGGTCTCCGATTTTGGGCTGAGCGCCATATCGGAGCAGATCAAGCAAGACGGCCTTTCCCACACCTTCTGCGGAACACCTGCCTACGTGGCGCCGGAGGTCCTCTCCAGAAAGGGGTATGACGCGGCCAAGGTCGACATCTGGAGCTGCGGAGTCATTCTTTTCGTCCTCATGGCTGGCTACCTTCCCTTTCACCACCAGAATGTCATGGCCATGTACAAGAAAATCAATCGAGGCGAATTCAGGTGTCCTCGATGGTTCTCCCATGAGCTCGTCCGCCTAGTCACCCGCCTGCTCGACACAAATCCCGACACGCGCATCACTATCCCCGAAATCATGAGCAGCCCCTGGTTCAAAAGGGGTTTCAAGCACGTCAAATTCTACATCGAGGACGACAAGTGTTTCAGCTCAGATGTTTCTGAAAAAGACGATATGTTCTGTTTGTCTGATCAGACATGCTCAGAATCGGATTCCGAGCTGGAGACCAAAAGGAGGACGGCCAGTCTCCCGAGGCCAGCTAGCTTGAATGCGTTTGATATTATTTCGTTTTCTCGTGGGTTTGATTTGTCGGGATTGTTTGAAGAAGGTTCGGATGGGTGCACGAGGTTTGTTTCAGGGGCGCCCGTGCCGGAGATAATCTCCAAGTTGGAGGAGATTGCGAGGATTGTGAGTTTTACGGTGAGGAAGAAGGATTTTCGGGTGAGTTTGGAAGGTTCGAGAGAGGGTGTGAAGGGCCCTCTGACGATTGCGGTTGAGATATTCGAGTTGACACCCTTGTTAAGAGTGGTGGAGGTTAGGAGGAAAGGAGGAGATAGAACGGAGTATGAGGAGTTTTGTAATAGCGAGTTGAGGCCTGGATTGCAGACTCTTGTGGTGGGGAATGGTGCTGCTAATTCTTCATCATTGGCTTCGGATGCCAGAGAGAGAGTGAGAGATTGATGTTGAAATGGGTACACCTTTCTTTTTGTTCTCTCTTTGTTACTGTTTGTACATATTTTGATTTTGTGGTTCTGTTTTTTCTCCTGAATGCGATGGTCAGAGTAAGTTGTTCGTGAGAAATACACGTCTTGTTTCGTTTTGGTGGCCGATTGATGAATAATGTTTTCTTGGTGTTTGTGGTAGTAACTATATATGTATAGGTAATAACAGGTTCTGTTTCGTGTACCTGTATATTTTATTTTAACTTATGAAAAGCATTTTTATTTCCGTTTAAACTGTGCCATCAAATTCCTAACTTTGTTGCATATTGCATGACGATCAATTTTTGTAGTGATGGTATATACAAAGGCATCGTGTGATTAAGTTGGGAATGTTGGCTTTGTGATGAATCATGGGTATTCTTTCTGGCGGTCTCTATGCTTGTAAGAACTTTTGCTTGTCTTGGGTTCTTTAGTTACACACCTATTTCCAGTAACAACAGAGGACCATATCAGATAGAAAGTATTTTGAAATGAGTTGAAGTTTTGAGATTACTGGTTCACTTGAAAGAAAACATCCACCTTGGGGTTGGGGCAATCAGATATTATAGCATTTGATTATTGTATATATTGGGGTCCTATTGATCTCTAGCCTACTCAGCTTCTCTTGGGTTTCATCTCTAGCCTACCTCAACTTGCTTGGGGACTAAAATATGTTGTTGTTGTTGTAGTTGTTGTTGTATTGGGGTCCTATTGATTAATTCATTCTTACAAAATGAATTCTCCACTGTATAATTAATTTATGTCTAATTCTTTGTTCTTTATCGGTACACTATCAAAATCAATGTAGAGATGATACATTTGACAGATACATCTCCATGAGGTTGGGATCTTGGCCCTCTTCCCGCCGTAACCCCACTTGTTGATCTCCTCCGGCGCCACATAGGCAGGAGTCTTGCACGTGGGGTAAACACAATTTGCTGATAATGAGTGATAAGTATTTGAGGTGTGCTCGGTTAATTGAGGAGTTTTGGATGATCTAGTGATTTCCGTGGCAGTGGCCCAGTTGAACTCCGAGAGCTCCTCCTTCTCGAGGCTCATCAAATTTAAGGCATCTGATATTTTTGTCACTTGGCAGAAAGTATCAATAATTTGGACCCTATCTAACTTATTCTGCTAAATTGCCTAAATTATCAGGCCTCGTTTACTAGAGATGATGGGATTGGACAAATTAATCCCTCCAATTTGCCACATCAGATTTTTGATAAATATTGTCATTTGTTTACCAAAGTGGATAAAAATGTAAGATAAATATTTAAATTACCGATTTAACTAATTAAATTAATATTTTTATAAATTAAATAATATTATTTTAAATTAAAGAAAAATAATATTAAACAATATTTTTTAGATTAAATAAAATTAATTAAATTAAATATTTTATATATTAAATAATATTATTTTAAGTTAAATAAAATTATTATAAATTATATATAATTATTTAAATTAATATTTTATAAATTAAATAATGTTAGTTTAAATTAAATTATATTATTTTATATAAAAAATATTTTTTAAATTAAACAAAATTATTTAAATTAATATTTTATAGATTAAATTATATTATTTTAAATTAAATAAAATATTTTACATTAAATAATATTACTTGGAATTAAATAAAAGTATTTTAAATTAAATAAAATTATTTTATAAATTAAATAATATTATTTTAAATTAAATTAAATTATTTTATATTAAGCAATTTTTTAAAATTAAATAAAATTAATTAAATTAATACTTTAAAGATTAAATAATATCATTTTAAATTAAATAAAATTATTTTAGATTATATATAATATTATTTTAAATTAATTAAGAATTATTTAAATTAATATTTTATAAATATCCGCCAAAATTGGAACTCAAACTTAGGGATAAAAATATCCGCCCAAAATGGGCGGACAAAACAATCTCTCCACATCAGACTAATGAAGAGAGACCCACATGCCACATCAGAATGGTCCTTTCCCTTAACCAACATAGTAAACATATCATATCCTATCAACCTTAGGGGGTGTATTCAATTCGGAATTTAAGTGACATTTTAAAACTTTTCGAGATTTGAGACTTTCTAGGATTTTCAGATTTTGGAAGAATTCTATGAAATCTCAAGTCCGGAGGTAAGATTTGAAGTGAGATTTCATATAAGGTTTTTTGTTTAAAAATTCCACTAAATCTTAAAAAGTCTTAATAAATCCTAGTGTCAAAAAAATTAAATATCTCAGGATTTTGTAAGACTTTTGAAAATCCCAATTGAATACACCAAGATTTTTAAAAGTTTTAAAAAGTCTTAACAGATTTAAATTGAATACACCAGAATTTTTAAAGTCTTAAAAAGTCCTTAAAAATCCTAATTAAATACACCTCCTTAATAAACGTGATCATAACATACTAACGTAAACTATACATATATAATAAGAATTACCATTTAACAAAAATAGTAGCAAAAAAATAGGAGAGAATTTAATGCAACCTATAAATAATAAGTTTTATTTATTTTTTATTTTTATCTTTGAAAAATCATACAACATAATGTTGCATTAAATTTTTGGTTTTAATTCATTTTATTATTTAAAAATTCTAGCTAAGATCTATTTAGTGTGCATTTTTCATTTTTATTTTATTTTTTCATAGAAACAACGAAGAACATTAAAATCTCAGTCTCTATATTTATAAAATCTCAATTGAAAATGTAATAAAAATTTTAGAACATCGGTCTTTATATTTATGCCTTCAAAAAAAAAAAAATATTGAATGATATTCGGTAAATATCATTTTCCACTAATCATCACAACTTTTTTATTTGAAACGTGTGATAATAAATTTGGTAATGTTTATCACTTATTTGTTTACAAATATATNAAAATTACAATATTTTTTTATAGATGTCGGTAAATGTTGTTGTTTTTTTTTTCTTCGGCTCTTTTTGTTCTAACGAAATGACAAAAAAATTGCAGTCGAACAACCTTTGAACCAGAAATCACAAAATACTTTTGTTCTAACCACATGACAAAAAACTTGGAGGGCAACAAAAGTTTGAACCAGAAATCACAATAGTCAATCTATATTGCCTTCGGAACATAAACAAAATACTATAAACTGCATTCTACGGAAGTATATTTTATCTAAGTATTTTTTTAAGAGTAAATAAAACATGTTAACACTATGATTTTTTTTTCTTTTTCTCTTTTATTTGTTATATCATGTATATTAATGCATAATTGTAACAAAATATATATACCATTAAATTTATAATATAAATTTAGAAGTGTATCACTTTTTTTTCTTTTATTTTCTGAATGTAAATTAATTTGCCTTTTCATATAGTGTGTACAAATAAATACCAACAAACTATAATTTAATCAACAACTAAGATTAAAAATTAAAATTTTTCTTCAAATTTATTTAGTATTAGTAAATACTAGTATTAGTAAATTTATTTAGTATTTTAGTAAAAAATTTCTTCAAAAAATAATGACTCATCAAATCCAAAAGATGATATTCGTGTTTTTGTATTAAGTTTTTGTATTCAGTATTTTTGTATTAGGTATATACTTTAATTAAAAATAAAGAAATAAATAGGACAAACAAAATATTCATTCAGTCTAGAAGGACTTTCAAACGCTGAAAGGCTTCTGGATGTTGTGTTTTTCTCTCATACCACATCAACACATGTAGAAGTAAAAAGACTCACCGTTGGAGACATATTTTCTATCCTAATGCCTAGATCTACAATTCTACAATGGATATACCATTGGAGATACTCTAATTGTTAGATCCACATACAAATACAATTATAAAAACTGTAAGGGTTACTAAGAGTAGATCGACAATAGGCTGAATGGATGTACTTATTGCAATAGTAAATGCTCGATTATTATTAAGAATGATTTACTTTTTGTTTTGCAGTGGTTCTTAAAATTTATAGTGTAAAAGAAAAAAAATCACGACGCTAAATGAGTCATGGTACTTTGGGAATATCTCCGGGACACTTGTCGGTCGAAGCAGAGATCCATCGTATATAGGATGACTACCCCTCTACTTTTGAGGATGAGACGTTTGCTTTGCAGTTGGACATTAGAATTTTGTG